AAGCCCTCTCGTTCACATCGATACGATGGTTTGCTTTGGGTCTGCTGATGCCTGATACCTTATCCCATCAACATCTTATGATCACACGGGCTGGTGTGCTTCTTCCATGTGGGCTTTGTTGCCTCCATGCTAGATGGCCACTTGTTTAACTTCAAGCCTTTAAGACCCCAGATGCTATATCTTCTAATAGCCGGGCACCATCAGCTTTCTTCACCACATTTGCTTATGCACCATTTTGACTTTAGCAATCGTGTTGGGAAGGCAAGTATCATGGAGTGTCGAGTTACTAGAACAAAGTGTTCTTGCATTGAGGAAGTACTTGACTGGAGGTACACTGCTACCGTAATACTTAACCCATAAATATATGTACATAGACCTATATCCCTATCATTATATATTAATATATTTACATGTGTACATGCTTGTTTATACCTCTATAAATGTCTTTTGCCTTCTAGTTCTTTCCTCTATTTCCTTTTACTTTCCTCCTGTCCCACTATCATGTTTGACCTTCATTCAACTCTCAGTAATTTCTCTTGGCTACATTTCACTTGATCAAACCCCACCAGGCGTCCTACGCCTTCTCACTGATTTTAGATCTCTTATTGCTCCCTTGTCCCTGGGTTTCCTGGCTCAATAGCATTCGCACTTGCTCTCGTGTGTGTGTGTGTGTGTGTGAGTGTGTGTGCATGCTTGCACACATACTTCCTCGTCTCCTTAGCAGGTTTTCAGAGCTTCATACGAAAGTCAAGTAGGTGACTTTCCTGGAAGATTTTAACCTCTTTCCACCTTGCCAGCCAGCGTCATGATAAATCCAACAATCGGCTTTCTCTTTCTCTTCGCAGACGTCAGAGCTGACACGGCATCTCGAACTGCATTTAGCGTCTCATAGGGTTCCACAGATGTGTGTCGTGAGATCCAGTGCGTGATAGGGCAAGCTTGGCTGGTCTTGACGGAGTTTCAATTTCTTGAGACAGACTGCCTGCAAGGAGACCGGAGCTTTTCGTTTCGTTTCGTTTTGTTTTGTTGGATACCCAGGTTGGGCATCCCTGCTGGTTGTTGCCACATCTGTGCCATCGTCGGCGCCCTGCCGGCTGACCTCCCTGTAGCGTGGGGCGAGAAGCTGAGTCTCCCTCAGCGGTTCCCAGAGCCGCGCCAGGCACACAGTGGCACGTGGTCTTTGAAGCACATTGAAAAGACATATCATGACACCGGACAGCCTGGTCACTTTGGAAGCTAAATGAGAGCAGCCTGGCCCGCCAACTCCCAGGCAGGACCACAGCTGGACCTGGCTGGATGACAGTGGAACGTTCCCCCTCAACGGATGAGGGTGGGTGGGCAGCTTAGTTGGGGAAGCGTTTGCAGGAAGGATAGAACAGACCAGCAGAACACCAGCCTGCTGCCATGCCTGGGTTGGGTCCCTGGAGAAGGGAGACCTGTGCAGCTGCCCCGAGATGGAGGCCAGGTGTCACCAGGGATGGCTCTTTCCGCTCCCATGATCCCGCGGCCCTGACCTAGCATGGGCAGAGAGGCGTGGGGGGGAGAGAGGCAGGGACACTCAGAGAAGGCCCTGGTCGGTCAGGCAGCCAGTGGAGGACCCAAAAGGTTTCAGCGATGGGGAGACCAGGCTTATTACCCCTTCCCTAAATGAGCTACAATTATATAGGCACCATCTCACTGCCAAAAAAGGATATGAGGCACCTCTTGAAAAAAAAGAAAGAAACTCACTATTAAACAAGGTTGTGAAGTCTTTCAAAGGCACATGTGCCTGAAGGGGAAAGAAGTGGGTGACTGAATGGGGGCTGGGGAGAAAGCGGGTGTGTAGGGAGTGCCATCAGACCACGCGTGTTTGCTAAAGGTGGCACCCACCCATTCCAGTTCTGAGGGTCCTTGGCGCTTGGGCAAAGAGGGAAACCGGAGTTGGAGGAGAGTTGAGGCCCCTAACAGGAGTGCCTGCCAAGGCCCCAGGGAAATCTCGTTAGGTGATGAATGGGCGATAGTGTGCAGTCTGGCCCCGGGCGGCCCTGCAATAAATACCAGAGGGAGTTTCGATGGCTGTTGAGTCACTCTGACTCATGGGGACGCCAGGTGTGCCAGGCAGAGCTGCTTCCTTTGGGCTTTCTAGACAGTGACCTTTGGGAAGCAGATCACCAGACCCCTGGTCCACGGTGCCTGGGGTGCGTTCCGACTGCCAGCCTTTCAGCTCATGGTCCAGTGCTTAACCATTGGTATCACCCAGGGGCTCCTGATCCTTCTTGTAAATCGCTGCAAGAAAGAGACCGTCCCTTAGACAAGGTGACTGTGGAGTCAAAGCAAAGCACTGTGCAGTTTCAGCCCCCAGCTTCTTAACCGTCCCTCTGCCCGAGAGAAGCTGGGCATTGGCTAGAGTTCGCCAGATACTTGCTTAGTGTGCTCCAGACTCGTTCACAGAAATTCAGTGAGCTTCCACAAGGCCATAACAATCAAACACCTACAGAAAGAGTAAGCTTCTCCCCCTGGCTGCTCCAGCGGGCTCAGGGATAGGAGCCATTGTGAGGACAGCCCAGGGCGGTGCCCTGCTGCCTGTTGTGCATAGGATCGCTATGGGTCGGTGCTGACCCTGACATTTAAGAACCACAACATGTATTGTAGGTTGGGCTGTGATCCGCAAGGTTGGCAGTTCAACACCACAGGAGAAAGGTGGAGCTTTCTACACCTATCAATGGTTACAGCCTCCGAAAACTCACAGGGCCATTCTCCCCTGTCCAATAGGGCCGCTCGCAGCTCGAGGGCAGTGAGGGCATGGGTGAGTGAGGGACACTTATCCTCATCTTCCGTGGGGGGCAGCGCTGGCTGAGTGCCAGCATCCTCGCTGCCGGCCAGGAAACGCAGATTGAATTCCTGGCCAGTGTGCCTCATGAACAGCCACTGCCCACCGGTCAGCGGAGTCTGTGATGACAGGCAGTGGCGGGGGAGTTGCCAGACCAGGACAGCCTGGGGATCCATTTCTCCGGTTAAGGCCTGGATGACGCTGGTCTGGGGGTGGGGCCAGGCTGGGCACCGTTCTGGCCTGCTGCACATGAGATCATGTGAGTCGGGGCCGATGACCCGCAAGGACAGCGAGTAGCTGCCGCCATGGAGGATGCAGGAAGTCTGGGGAGAGAGCCCAGACCTGCCCGAGGGGTCCTGGCTGCACGTGTTACCCACCCGTGTGGTCTGCTCAGGGCTTGCTACTCGACATTAGCTACCTTTGTTCCCCTTGGCAGTCTCGCATCTAGGCTGGTAGCAGGGCCGTGAGCTGGTTCTTCCTGGGCAGCCACGGATGGGTAACAAAGCCTAGAACATGTAGGTATACCAAAATTGGCAAAATTTCAGGTCATCACCCTGCTGGAAACTTATTCCCCTCACCCCCACCCCCAGGCAGAGTTGGGAAGCGTCCAGCGCCCTGCTCAAAGATGGTGCTGCTTTGAATGTATTGATCTCCACGGCCCTGGCCCTGGCGAGAATCGTGTCTCCTGCATCCGGTCGCCCCGTCTCACAGCCCGCAGCTCAGTCCCTGAACTTATCCCATTGCCGGTACTGTTCTGGGTACACCCGCATTTCTGTTTCACCGCCTTGGCCGTGCCTGAACCAGCTCTGGCCAGATCACAGACCTGGCCGAAGGAGGCAAAGCCAAGGAGGTCTGCTGCCAGGTGTCGGCATGACTCACACAGAGCGGTGCGCCCCTCCCGTAGGAAGAGAATGGTATCCCTTGGGCGAGCCTAAGGGATACAAAAGAAAGCGCACACACCATCTGGGCCTACAGGTATACAAAAGGTGCTCTTTCCCGCAGGCTGTATCAAGCATGGGCACACCTTGTTTTCTTGCATGTAGTCAGCATGTGTTTTTGACAAATGAAAGATTTATGGTTCCCCCCCGGCTGAGCAATAATTCAGTGGGCTCTGTTTACCCCAACAGCCTGGGATCACTTCGCATCTCTGTGTTGCATCTCGGCACCATCACAGTGTGAGGTTCTCCTCGTCCTCTTGCATGCTTTGAAGGCGCTAGGACAAGGTAGATGTAACGTTGACCCGCACTGGGAAACGAAAGCATTCCCGGCGGGCTTTGCTGCTAGTCTCGCCGTGTTTATTGGTTCTTCAGTACTGGCTTTATTCCGGGGTCTGGATCAGAGCCCGCCGTATCTCCAGAGTGGGTTTGCCTTCATCATGGACCAAATGGGTGCCATTCCTTACAGCAGTGACTTTGTCTGTGAGGCTGACTTGCATGATCTTGTTGCCCAAGCGCGTCGTATCTGTGTGGGTGTTCTGTCAGCCTCTTACAGTGTTGGCAGGATCCTGTCACCCAGTTAACCGGGCACTGCTGACCCAGGGGGATGGCTCCACGGTGACGCAGCGCTCAGTGAGCAGCCCGGCCAGTGAGCGGCAAGTGTTCTCAGGCACATGCAGCTATGTCCACACTCCCCTGCACAGCCCACAGGGTGAGAACCCTCTAATGAAAACCCGGGCGTTGGCCCAGATGATGCCCTTTGGCGCTCCCGTCCCCTCACGGAAGCGGGGCCACAGGCGCCGTGGGCAGGATAAGCGTCCGCATGTGGGGAAGGAGTTCACACAGACGGACTCCGTCTGTCGAGAACAGATGAACAACTGCACTTGCTGGGTAGGAATTATCACTTCTAACATTGATTTGGTGGCTACTACATGCCAGATGTTCCGCTAAGCCATTTGTATGTTCTATCTCATTTAATCCCCTCCCAGAAACCTGATAAGGTAGATACCATTATTATTATCCTCTTTTTACAGATGGGAAACAGAGCCACAAAGAAGTTAACCTTTTCTTGTTAAAGGGTTGGGCCAGTTAACAGTATTTCAGCAGGGTATAGATAATCCTCAAGCCGTCTGTGGGCTTCTGATTCTAGAATCGTCTGGCGGACCTCAGGGAGACTTGCTGGCGTTGAATTAACTGAGCGTTTGAGCAGAGGGAGGCAAAGAGACCCTCTCATGGACTTCCCTTCTCTCTTTCAGCGTGTGAAGATGGCTACAGGCTAGAGAATGAGACCTGTATGAGGTAGGCTGCCCTTCGTGTATTAACTCTGTGGCGCACCTTATTTGGAAATGGCATCGGTAATTGCCTTACTTCTTTTGAGATTGGAAATTGATTCATGTCCTTTGTTGTGTGGTTGCTGTCTTGCAGTTGCCCATTCGGCCTCGGTGGTCTCAACTGTGGAAACCGTAAGTTTACAAAATGTTAGAGCCTCACTGGGTGGGGCTTGGTCCCTGTTGTCCCCCCAGGACCCCCTGCATTCACCCCCCTTGGGTGCTAGGTGGTGTGAGGGAAAGAAAAGGCAGGGACTTGGTTAGCACTCTTTCGGGGCTTAGGATCTGGTAGGGGAGATACACACGTTCCTAAGCAACTTTGCGCCCTGGTTGGCAGTTCAAACCCACCAGCTGCTCCAGAGGGGAAATATGAGGCAGCTGGCTTCCATAAGGTCTGCCATCCCACTCTGCCCTCTTGGTTTCTAAGAACCTGAATCAGCGTGTCTGCAGTGAAGCGAGTGGATGCTAATGGTCACCCCGAGTGTTAATACAGTAGCTAAAGTGTGGGGAGATGGAAAGCTCAGATAGAGGGAGCACATTAAAATCAAATATGGACCTGGGGGAGGTGTTTGGATGAATGTGGCTGAGCATACCTGTGTTAGTCTGGGTAAACTAGGCAAACAAATCCACCGAAACATATGTAAAAATAAGAGAGTTTTATATAAAGGGTAAGAAAACATCCCAACCCACTGTTGTCCAAGCTCACAAGTCCAACATTAACCCCTATGTCCGACACCAATCCACAAAGTCCTCCTCCATCTCACAAAACACACGCAATGATGCCGACTGCAGAAGGAAAGCCAAATCAGTGAATGTGTAAGCATGTCAGTGTTGGCAGGGGTCTCCACATGGCTGCTCCAGCACCCGGGGCTGCATCGGGGTAGGTCCTGTGGCTTCTCCTCAGGGATGCCTTACAGGGAGTGAGCCTTGCTAGCTAAAATAGGGAACTGGCTAAGGCAGCCGTACCCTGGTCCGACCATCACAAAGCAGGAGACTCAAGAACTCTAAAGGCGAGGCTCACTGAGCCATTTATCTCTCTGCCCTTCAGTTAACCCCACATGTGTTTATCGGCCAGGTTGACACAATAAACTTTAACTCAATACTAAAGGCCAAGCTCACTAAAAACCAAACAAGCTGACTGAGAGCAACCCTGTAGGACAGGGCAGGACCGCCCCTGTGACCTCCCCAGACTGTAACTGATTCTGGGAGTAGAACACCTTGTCTTTCTCCTGTGAGTGGCTGGTGGTTTTGAACTGTGGACCTTGCAGCCCTCAGCCCCAGGCGTAACGACTACTCCAGGAGGGCTCCGTGGCTGAAGAGAGAATGAAGGAAACGGGAGAGACTGAGGATTAGGTCGGCGAAGGAATGAGGACAGGCCTGGCGGGTCCTCCGTGTCCGGCTGGGGACATTTAGACACCACCCCCTGGAGGTGTTACCAACAACTGAGCCCGTGGTCCAGTCCCCTCCGACCCATAAGGTTTCTGAACCGTATTGAAGCCGGCAGCCTTCTCTCTCGGCCGCTGCCCCTCTGGTGCGCTCAGCCACAGATCTGTAGGCTCTGTACGTCAGCATAAGACGCCGCGGTGGCTCAGCAGCGAAGCACCCGGCTGCTAACCGAAAGGCTGGCTGTTTGAAGTGCTCCGAGGCTAGGTGGGGGAAAGACGTGGTGATCCGCTTCCGTTAAGTTTACAGCCTGGGAAACTCCCGAGGGGCAGTTCTGTTCTGTCCCGCAGAACTGCTGTGCATCGACATCAACTCCACAGTCACGCTCTGCAATGTGGTGCACCTAGGTGTGAAGGAACCCTTGCTGGGGCCCAGAAGGTGCAAAGTGAGCTCAGCAGCTGAGGTGGTAGGGGTGTGTGGATGGGTGTGGACACTGGGATTGGGGGATGGGCCCATTCTTCTGCACATAGGCCTCACTACATTGCTCGGTACCGAGCCTCATCTTTCTTGTTTTGTTTTGTTTCTATAACACTGTTTAGCATATCAGCTCATCACGGTGGTGATCGCAGCAGCCGGAGGTGGGCTTCTCCTCATCCTAGGCATCGCCCTGATTGTTACCTGTTGCAGGTGAGTGGGGAGAACGCACATGCGCTCTAACTCTGTGTCTTTGCCGGTGCTATGCCAGGGCCCTTTTTTGACTCTGGTAAAGGGAGCTGGGGAGGGGCGTGGAGTTACAATGTTAAATCATCATGTATGACAAAAAGGAGAAGAAGAAATTCATGACTGTTGGTGGAAAGGGGGGCAAATGAGACTGTATTTTTCTTTTTTTTTAATCGTTTCATCAAGGCTCATACAACTCTTATCGCAATCCATACATACATCGGTTGTGCAAAGCACATTTGTACATTCATTACCCTCATCATTCTCAAAACATTTGCTCTCCACCTAAGCCCCCGGCATCAGCTCCTCATTTTTCCCCTCCCTTCCCTCTCCCCCCTCCCTCATGAGCCCTTGATAATTCATAAATTATTATTTTGTCATATCTTGCCCTGTCCGACGTCTCCCTTCAGAGACTGTATTTTTCTTTATTGGAAGCGAATGTCCAAAACACAAGAAGAAAGAAAAGGGGGAGAGAAGGGGGCTGGACCGAAGTTCATCGAAATGAAAAGCATCTGTGCGTCAAAGGACACTGGCAAGCAGGTGAAAAGACCACTCCAGAATGGGGGGATGCCTGCAAACCACACACCTGACGAGGAGCTTGTGTCCACAAGACAGAACGAACCCTTGCAACTCAGTCCTACAAAGACACCCTGGTTACAAAATCGGGCCTGGGCTCCGAGCCGAAGGACGCCGACGGGCTGAGCCAGCAGGGAAATGCAAATCAGAAGTGCAGGGGACACTGCTGCACCCCCACTGTGGTTTCCGGGCGTCGAGTCAGTGGCTGTAATCCCAGGAAACAAAAGGGAAGAAAGAGAATGACAAGTGGGGACGTGGAGAGATGGAAATGATCCAGCCCTGCTGGTCAGTTACACAACAGAGCAGCCACTCTGAAAAGCCACCTGGCACGGTGGCAGTGATGAAACAGAGTGGCCCTGTGGCCCAACCAGCCCCTCCTGAGCACATACCCCAAAGAAATAAAACATACGTCCACACGAAAATAGGTATGCGGATGTTCCTAGCCAAGTGACTCATAGGAGCCAAAAGGTGAGAGAACTCAATGTCTGTCACCTAAGATATGGATAAGCACAATGAGGCATAGCCATACCAAGGGTTATTGCTGGGCCATCGGATGGAATGAAGCATTGGTACATGCTGCCAAATTGTAGGCACCTTAAACGCCTTAATAGTGAGTGAACACGACTGCTAGCCACGAAAGAGCATCCCCTGCAAGATCCCATTTACGTGGCCTCTGTAAAACAGGCGGATCTGTAGAGTCAGAGAGCAGGACTGCCTGGCTGGTGGGGGCAGGGGTGGGGGTTGGGGAGCATTCTAGGGGAAGATTGGAAGTGGTGACTCAGGGGTGCCAGGTGTCTTTGGGAAGTTATTAAAATGTTCTAAATTTAATTGTTACCGTGGTTGCACAACTTGGCGAACAGACTAAAAGCCGTTGAATTATACACATTTAATGCATGAATTGTGTGGTGTGGGAATTGCATCTCAATAAGCTACTGTAAATAATAACAATATTATAGGAGGTGAAGTGAGTGGCTACTGAACAGTAACCTTGGCTCTAGGCTTTCTGGAACCCAACAGTGGAGAAGGAAAGGAGAAGGAGAGATTGGTCTCCCTTCCCGCTGATTATTGAGGTAAGGGACAGTCAGAACCTTTGGTTTAAAAATAATAGATAATAAACTCACTGCCATCAAATCGATGCTGACTCATAGCGGCCCTATAGGACAGGGTAGAGCTTCCCCATGAGCTTCCAAGACTGTCACTGTTTATGGGAGTAGAAAGCCCTGTCTTTCTCTCACAGAGCCGCTGGTGGCTTTGAACTGCTGACCTTTCAGATCGCAGTCCGACCCATAACCACTACACCACCAGGGTTCCTTGTAGATGATCATAAATAGGAACTACCAGGACTTAACAAATGAAGGAATCGACTTCAGGAAAGTTCCCTTTTCTGCTACCAACCTTCCAAGATAACCGCTCTCTCTGCTGAGGCCACGGAGAGTCAGGCGAGGGATTTGGCTCAGTGTGCTCCACCCACCATCCGCATTCAGTCGATAGACTTAAGCACATGCTCTGAGACACTGGACTGTATGAAGAAGGTAGCATCAAAATTGGAGGAATGCTCATTAGCAACCTACGATATGCAGCTGACATATTGCTGGCTTGCTGAAAGTGAAGAGGACTTGAAGTACTTACTGACTGCAGCTTCCAGTGTAGATTGCAACTCAATATTAAGAAATTCTCACAACGGAACCAATAAACAACATCGTGATAAACAGAGGAAAGATCAAAGTTGTCAAGGATTTGGTTTTACAAGGACCCACAATCCATCGATGCCTACAGAAACTGCAGTCAAGAAACCAAATGACATGTTGCATCGGGGATCTCTGCTGCTGGGATCCCTTCCTTTACCAAATACCTCTTTGAAGCACTGGAGAGCAAAGGTTCATTTTGAAGACGAGGGTGCACCTGACCCAAACCAGGTTGTTTTTCATCACCTCAGATACCTGCAGCCGTTGGACAGTTCCTAAAGAAAATGCATTTGAATTATGTTGCTGCCAGGTGCCATCGGGTCGATGACGACCCATAGCGACCCTCTGCACAAGAGAAGGCAACACTGCGCGGTCCTGCACCACCCTCACGATTGCCCCGTGTTCGAGTACACTGTCGCAGCCACTGAATGGATTGACTTACAAGGTCGCTGGGGGTCGGAATCAACGTGATGTCTGAATAAGGAAAACCGAAGAAGACTTGATGGATTTATGGTGGTGAAGATGAACACTGAAAGTGCTGTGGAGTGCTAAAAAGACAACCCGGTCTGCTTAGAGGACGCGGGGTCCCTGTGAGTTAGAACCAAGTCAATGGCACCGAACAGCACCAGCAACAGCCCATTCAGGAGCAAATGCCTCTCAGCGCACCAAGCCTTTGCCCAGCATTTCCTAAAATGCTGGCCATGAAGCAAGAAGCAGTTACCCAAGCCAAACCTACTGCTGCCAAGTCAATTCCAACTCTTAGTGACCCAAGAGGGCAGAGTAAAACTGCCCCCACAGAGTCCCCAAGTCTATGGAAGCAGATGGCCACACGACGTTCCCTCTAGTTGCTGACAGGCTCCC